GGGAGCGCCGCCGCACTCCCAAGCGGCGCACTGTAGCAGTGCGCCACTGGGCCGGCCCGTCTTGTACACATTTGATAATATCAGTTTTTAAAATTTTTTATGGGCCGGCCCGGTGGCGCACTGGATAAGTGTGCCGCTTGGGAAGCGCGGCGGTGCTCCCGCCCGAGGGTTCGGATCCCACATACAGACCGGTTCCCGCTCACTGGCTGAGCAAGGTGCGGGGGCAACACCGAGGGTTGCGATCCCGTTGCCGGTCCCCGGTCCGGTCCGGGGGCGAAAATTTTTTATAATGTAGTGGGTGAAAGTGATAAATGTTTGTTTTTATTCAGCTTTATTTCAATTTGTACTGAGGTTAAGGATCTTTTCATATGCTTATTTACTTTTCAGAGGATTTATACGTTTTTACATTGGAATTTTTGTTTTTATTTGTATATAAAGCTCTTTCTGAAAAAAAAAAAAAAACTGTCATGTACTATCACACAGAACAGTTCTGACACCAGATGTATGGGTTTTTTCCCATACCAACCAGTTCTCCTATGTCAGTTGGGTGGCCTACAATTTAACTCAATTCTGACACTCTCTGCCTGGAGTTAGTGTCAGATTTCACACATTATGGGCTCACTCCCACAGAACTGCCCCCCACTTGAATCACCAGTTCGGGACTCCTGTACTTCTTACTGATGGGTCATAAATGTGGGGTTTCCATGAGTCTTTCCTCGGGTTTGATAATTTGCTAGACTGTCTTATAGAACTCAGGGAAACATTTTACTTAAGTTTACCAGTTTATTGTAAAGGATATGATAAAGGATGCAGATGAATAGCCAGATGTGAAGTACCTAAGGTGAGCTCTTGAGGCAGGAGCTTCTGCCCCTGTGGAGTTGGGGTGTGTCACTCTCCCTGCACGTGGATTCCTTTGTTTACCAACCTGGAAGCTCATCAAATCTTGTTTAAGAGTTTTTATAGAGCTTAATTACCCACCCAACCTTTCTGGAAGTCAGTGCGTGGGGCTGAAAGTTCTAACCCTGTAATCACTTTGTCTTTCTGGTGACTGGCCCCATCCTGAGGCTATCTTGGGGCCCTGTCCTAAGTCACCTCAGTAACATAAACTCAGGTGTGATCAAAAGAGGATTGTTATAAATAACAAAAGACACTCATATCACTTAGGAAATTCTGAGAGTTTTAAGGACTCTGTGGCAGGAACCAGGGTCAAAGACCAAATATATTTCTTATTATGCCACACTATATGTATATGGATATTAATTCCTTTGTATAAACATTGTCAGTATTGTCTCCTAGTTTGTCTTTTGCCTTTATTTATATTTTTTATTAAACAAGTTATAAACTTACTAGTCTTTCACTTTTTGATGTATGGGTTTAGCATCCTAATAAGCCTATGTTTAAATATATTTTCTGTAAGGAGTGTATGGAATTAGGGATCCAAGGGGTTTTGTTGTTTTTGCTGTTACTGTTTTTTCCTAAATAACATTTAATGAATAATCTAACTTTTCTTAGGGTTAATTTTAATCTACATGATCATTTTCTTATAATTCTAGTTTGGAGAAAAGTACAGTGAGAAATGATAAGTTCATGAATTTTTTCAAGATTATGGAATAGGAAATTAATGAGTTTATGAATCTATAGTTGTATGTAAGAGTGGACTCTGTGTGTGTGTGTTTGTGTTTGTTGGTAAATATATACATATCTCTCCACCCTCTAGTAAAAGATCTATGTATTTCTTCGTCTTCTCTTCTTTTCCAGTTATTTATCAATTGACTAATATTTATGACAATTTACCATGTACTAATGATTATAACGCAGGGAGAGATGCTCCTTAATTAAGGGTTTATGGTCTTTTTGTGAAGATATAAGTGGTATATAAATATGATATAAATGGTACAGAGGGTTAAGAGTTATCCAAAAAATGCTTCATGGGGGGAGGTGGGACTTTAACCAGGATGTTTTAGGAATTGCCAGGCTTATATATTTGTCATTTTGGTTTTAAATTTCATAAAGATAGACCTAATATATTAAATGCCTATTTAATCTCTTGTTAATTGCTTAAAACAAATTTAAGAGAAAAGCATTTTCATCCTGTGCTGTCTTCTGGTCTGTTTGGGTTTAGGGTTTTACTCAAGACACAGTTTGTGATTTGATATTAAAAATAGTCACATGTACAGTTCCAAGTACTCATTGATGGTAGAAGCTCCTGTTAATTGAAACATTCAAGATTTGATATCTATAAAATTGAAAATATAAAATATCTTGCAATGTCATGCTTAGGATACTATAAGTGAAATGGTGTTAATTGCCGGTGACTTATTTTATTGTAGAGCATGGACCTGGAATTGATATATTTACACCTGGTAAACCTGGAGAGTATGACTTGGAGGGTGGTATATGGGAAGATGAAGATGCTCGGAATTTTTATGAGAACCTCATTGATTTGAAAGCTTTTGTTCCAGCCATCTTGTTTAAAGACAATGAAAAAAGTTGTCAGAATAAAGAGTCCAACAAAGATGAATCCAAAGGTAAATTCTGGAGGAAAAATATTTATGTTAAGTGCTACAAAAATTAGCTTCAAAATAGTATTTTTTTTTAAAAAAATTAGTTGTAGTTACTAGTTTTGTAATGTGAACATTGGGTTATTAGATTAAATGAATGTCAGAATAAAAGAAGTTGTAGTTACTAGTTTTGTAATGTGAACATTGGGTTATTAGATTAAATGAATGTCAGAATAATATGGAATGGAACATTAAAAGGTGATTACTGACATACTTTTAACAGGGCCAGTACATTTAAGTTAATGTGAATTAATTTGAAAGTGTTTATTTATAGTATCTTATAATGAATTCATGTGAGGTCTTGATAAAACGTGAACTTTTCCCAACTGCATTGTTAAAGAAAGGGCTAACAGTATAGTGCTTTTTACCTTCCATGTTCTTTTTAGGCTAGATACAACCAACTCCTTGTGAGGAAGAGTTACTTTGGAGAAATCAAAAGCTTTGAGATTATTAATAGGGTGAGAGGTACTGAATGCCAGTTACCTCATGTCTCAGATTTATCTTTACTGCTACTGTTCTAATCTAAGCTATCATCCTCTCTTATTGGGCTACTAGAGTACCTCTTTATCTGGTTGCCCTGTGTTTGCTCTGATCCCTTCTGTGCATTCTTTTTTTTTGTTTGTTTTTGTTTTTCTAGTGGCTGGCTGCCTTCTATACATTCTTAAAAATTGATTTTATTCTCCTGCCACTATCCTTTAATGGCTTTATATTTATTTGGAATATAATTTAAAATGGTTACCATTGACTATAGAACCCTGCATAGTTTGTCTCAGGTCTGTCACTCCAACTATATCTGTTACCACATTACCCTTAATTTTCTGTCCTTTTCAGTCTCTGAAATAGGCAAATCTTCTTGCCTCATGGCTTTCGTATATTATTCTGTATTCTGCTTGGAACTGTCTCCCACCGTACCCCACTTGACTCCTTAATGCGTGTTAGGTTAATTTCCTCAGATAAATTGTAAATATCTTGAGAGCAAGGGTCACATTTTAAGCTTTTTTCTGAATGTTCAATAGCTTAGTATAGTTCTAAATTTGTAGTAACTAACCAGTAAATATTTTTTTGGCAGCCAGACATCAGATAATATTGGGAATGAATATATGCTACATATGAGTAGGTGCTTTTTGTCTGCTACAGTCACAGTTGTTTCCCTGGTGCTTAGAACACTACCTATCATATAATAGCAATTCAATTATTAGTTGAATGAAAATATGAATGAATGAGAAAATGGTAGTCTGTCTTCATTTAGAGGCAGCTAAACCAATTCATACTGATTAGAGCTTTCATTCTCCCAAATATAGTATGGCATCAAGTATCAGTAATACATTTCTGCTTTCAGTGCAGGAATTAGGAGATCAGAGAATATAAGAGATGAAGCTGAGAAATATAGTAGGTTTAGTTTAAGGATAAATTGTTGAACTCAGATTTTTTTGTTTTGTTTTTTACATATGGTAATTTTTGAACACAAAAGTAAGGCTGGTATGCTGAACTCAACATGTACGTATCACCTAGCTTCAACAATTGTCAACATTTTGCCAATATTGTTGAACTAAGGTTTAGTTCCTCTTTCTTGTTTTAAATCTTTTGTATTTAGCCTTTTACCAACTTCTGGCCATTTTCCTTTGTTATGTCTCATTTTGTGGTTTCCTCTAACCCCTAATACCTAAATTCTAAGGATGTTTTCCTAATTGGTCTTTCTACATCTCTTCTTATTTATCTTGTATATTGCTACTAAATTAATTTTCATATCAAATCATTTTTTTTCAAATCACATCTAAATTCTATCTGCTGCTCATGACCCAACAAAGGTCATCCTGTATAAAGGAGAAATTCTGAACTCCTCATCTTGGAGTTTGAGACCCTTCTTATCTGAGTCTACATTATCTAATAAACTTTATTTCTCATCGTCTTTAGTGTAGATCTTCGTGCTGTGTAACTTCCATTCACCCATTTGTTCATCCATTTCTTCATTGAGCAAGTGGCATACAGGATCAAGGAAGTTATGATATTTGTTCTCAGTGAGCATAATGTATTTTATAAACTCTGAATATATTAAATTTTTACTCAAATTTGTTGCCAGATATATATATGCAGGTTCTAAAACAAGCGATGCAGATTTTATGAATCTTTATCTTTTTTTGCAGGAAGATTTCAGTATGCCTTTTAATTCAGATATACTTGTTTTTTGTTTTTAACCAGAGGCAAAAGAATCCAAGGATAATAAGGAGGTATCAAGTCCTGATGATTTGGAACTCGAATTGGAGAATCTAGAAATTAATGATGATACCTTGGAGTTAGAGGGTGGAGATGAAGCTGAAGATCTTACAAAGAAACTTCTTGATGAACAAGGTAAAGAACTGCTTCACCAATTTTCGTTTTTGATTAGTTTCACACACAAACTCTTGCCTAATAATGTGGATCTTTTCAGTTATTGATTTCTAAATTACCTGTTTTTCTGTTGTTTTTAGACCATCACTGTTTTGGAATTTGATTTAGAACAAAACACTGCATACCTAATATTATGTGACTGAAAGCATTAGTGATCATCTAAATTCTAAATATCTTAAACTATAAAAGTATATATCTTATACTTTTCTGGCAACTTTTGCTAGCAGTGTCATGATGATTTTATTTTTTATTTTTCATTTCTTCACCTTTTTTCTTTCATGGTTATTTTAATTCTATGACAATCTCTCTCTCTCTCTCTTTTTTGGTGGCTGGCCAGAATGGTCAAGGGCTGAACCCTTGACCTTAGTGTTATATCACTGTGCTCTAACCAACTGAGCTAACCAGCCAGATCCCATGACACAGTCTATACAAACTTAACGTGAATATATCAAAAGTTATTCTAAAATAGTTGAAGGATAGAAATACAACTAGCATTTCAGTTTGTCTTTGTTAATTTTACGTTTTTATAATTGAGTCATGTTTTGTTGTTAGTATTAAAAAATATTACATTCATTATTCCCTAAGTATATCCTATGGAGTTTCTTTATTAGTTAGGATTCTTTATTAGAATGATACTTTCTGTCGATGTTGCTTTTCTCTCTTTTGTCTTCAGTGTTTCCTACTGCAGATTCTCTTTCTCCATGTCATGACAGGAGGGTGGGCATGGCTGGAGGCTGCCCCAAGCTTAAATTATACCAGCTAGTGACATCCGAGGAAAAAGAGTTTCTCTCCCACTGTCTGTATATAAATATCACAGAAGGACTTTGGCTAATCCTGTGTTATGCTTACCCATATGGTCAAGAGGAATAATGGTGTGCTGTGCTTTGATTGGCAGCAGCCACCCACATCAGAATTACATGGAATGGGAGAGGCTTAGTGCTTCAAAGGCAAGAGTTGGAAGTGCTGTTAATTGAAGAATGTGGGGGAAGGGATGCCAGGCAGAGAAAAGTAACAGATTTACTATAAAACTACATGTATTTTATGATTAAGTTTTTGTGTCTAATGCAGAAAGTTTGGCATTTTATAGTTGATATCTAAAAGACTGTAGTGACTTGGGGTTAAGATTCTAGAGATAACTAAACTTTCTAGGATAATATCTTTAATGCTTAATGTTTTCATGAGTACGAAAATAGCTCTAGATGATTTATTTTCCAAATATCTTATAATTGGACGTTTTGATTTTATGTTCTCTATTATTTTTTTAACTTTTTAAAAACTAATTTTATATTAGAACAAGAAGATGAAGAAGCCAGCACTGGATCTCATCTCAAGCTCATAGTAGATGCTTTCCTTCAGCAGTTGCCCAACTGTGTCAACCGAGATCTGATAGACAAGGTATCATTATCTCTGTATAATTTCACTCAAGCATGTAGACCTCTTATTAGGAATGTCAGTGGTTTTCAGACTATCTGAGGTACAAAATAAACCATTTCCTCCAATGGAGTCTCAATGCAATGTAAACACAGATAAAATTGGAGCCAGTTCGTAGATGCTCTGTTTGGGGGTGGAACTGGCTCCAGAATCCTTGTCTTGACCTGACCTCTTTCCTCTTCACATAGGGATCCTATAGTTTGGAAAATGCTGTTTTAGGTTAGAGGTTCTTAAAGTATAGTCTGTGGATTCCTCATGGCTTCTGAGGCACTTTCAAGGGACGTGTAAGGTCAAAACTCTTTATAATAATGCTAAGATTTTTTCACCTTTTTCATTTTTTTTTTTTAATTCAAAATATTTTAACATTTGCTTGTTCGTATTTGTGGGGTACAATGTTGTTTCTATACATGGATATACAGCACAGTGATTCACTTAGGGTAGGTTGCATAGTCAACCCCCCACTCCCCACCTTTGGTAACCATTGTACTGTTTTCTCCTTCTATGACAACCACTTTTTTGTTGTTTGTTTATGTTTTGGTAGCTGGCCAGCATGGGGATCCACTGACTTACTTCACTTAACATATTCATTTCCAGTTCTATCCATGTTGCTGCAAATGATAGGATATCTTTTTTTTAAAGCTGAGCAGTGTTCCGTTGTGTATATATACCCCAGTTTTTTATCCATTCGTCCACTGATGGACATTTAGGTTGATTCTATTTCTTGGCTATTAGGAGTAGTGCTAGAATGAACAGGGGAGTGCAGGTATCTTCTTGGTATATTGATTTCATTTCCTTTGGGTATATACCCAGTAGTGGGATAGCTGGGTCATAAGATAGATCTATTTTTAGTTCTTTTAAGAACCTCCATACTGTTTTCCACAATAGCTGTACCAATTTACATTCCTACCAGCAATGTAGGAGAGTTCCTTTTTCTCCCCGTCCTGGCCAGCATTTGTTATTTTCTGTCTTGTTGATAATAGCCACTCTAACTGGAGTGAGACGACATCTCATTGTGGTTTTAAATTGCATTTCCCTGATGATTAGTGATGTTGAGCATTTTTTCACGTGTCTGTTGGCCATTTGTATGGCTTCTTTTGAGAAATGTCAGTTCAGGTCCTTTGCCCATTTTTTAATTGGGTTATTTGCTTTTTTTTTTTTGCTGTTGAGTTGTTTGAGTTTCTTATATATTCTGGATATTTTCCCCTTTTCACTCACATATGCAAAAGCGATGGTGGGTAAACTGCTGGTATTATAGCATGAATCAAGGCAGTGTTACCAAACCATGTGAATAACATTATATTTTTCACTGCCGTGCATTTGCAATGAAAAGAAACAGTGCCACTTACGAAGCTCCTTGGTGAATCCATAAAAACCAATGATTTTTATTGCATTTCAACTTTTGTTTACAAGTCCTTTTAATCTGACAAAATGAGATGGACACATAAAGAGCACTTCTGCTGTCTCAAGGTTGTCTCCAGGAAAAGTGTGTGTGGATTGTTTGAGTCACAAGCTGAAATGGTTGCTTTTTTTATAGAATAACATTTTTACTTAGAAGAACTGATGGACAAACCATGGATAGTCAAACCTGGATATTTAGCAGACATTTTTCTAAAATGAACAAAGTGGGGCTGGTTGGTTAGCTAAGTTGATTAGAGGGCAGTGTTGTAACTATCAAGATCAAGGGTTCATAGCCCCTTATAGGCCAGCCACCAAAAAATAAATAAAATGAACAAAATGAGTTCATTACTTCAAGGAAAACAACTAGAAGTTCAAATTTGAGTTTACAGCAGAAATTAGAATTTTGGAAAACTTAGGTTCACCTCCAGAAGCTTGACAGCTTTCTGATTCTTTTCTTTTTTTTAAAAGATGACCGATAAGGGGATCTTAACCCTTGACTTGGTGTTGTCAGCACTACGCTGTCCCAAGTGAGCTAACCGGCCATCCCTATATAGGGATCTGAACCTGTGGCCTTGGTGTTATCAGCACCACACTCTCCCAAGTGAGCCATGGGCCGGCCCTTTTCTGACTCGTTTCTGAAGAGACTTTATCGATGAGACTTTTCTGCTGAGATTGTTATATTAAATTTTAAAATATTATGTGTATAATTGGAAGATGTTCATGGCTCAGTGAACCATCATTCTAAGTAACCAGTATACGGTGTTAAAAATCATAAATGGGTGTTAAAGATCCATTCAAAGTGCAAAATAGACCAGTGGATTTTAATTTAACAGAGCATGAAATGTTTATTGATACAGGCTGAGTATCCTTAATCTGAAATCCTCCAAAATTTGAAACATTTTATGTGCCAACATGATGCTCAAAGGAAATGCTCATTGGAGCATTTTGGATTTTGGATTTTTGGATTAGGGAATGCTGAACCAGTATAATGCAAAATTCCAAAATTTGAAAAGATCCGAAATCTGAAATACTTCTCAGTCCTAAACATTTTAGATTAAGGGATGCTCAATCTGCCCTTTCAGATTCCACATTGCACCTAACCCTTAAGAAACTACCACTTATCAAGTTTTGGTGTAGTATCAAAAAAAAAAAAAAAAAATCTATAGTTACTGAAAAGGGTTTTAAAATATCCTCCTTTTTCCAACTACGTACGTGTAAAGCCAGATTTTTTGAATATACTTCATCCACACAATACATTGCAACAGACTGAATGCCTATAGATAAAAGAATCCAGCTATTTTTTTTTTTCTTTTTCTCTTTTTTTTTGTTGTTTTTGTCTGATTTTTGTTATTTTTTTGGTGGCTGGCCAGTATGGGGATCTGAACCCTTGACCTTGGTGTTACACCACCATGTTCTAACCAACTGAGCTAACTGGGTGAGCCCTCTTTTTCTTTTTAATTTCCTCAAATTTATTTATTCTGGCAGTTTTTCCACTTGTGTGGTCTTTTATTCATTTATACTACATATTTGTTGAACCTCTGTTATGTGTTCCAGGCATTAACATGCTCTGTCTGCTAACTCCTAATCTGTGGAGAGTTTTGAACACAGGTTTGTTTTGTTTTGTTTTGTTTTTTGGTGGCTGGCCAGTACAACCCTGGACCTTGGTTATCAGAACCATATTCTAACCAGCTGAGCTAACTGGCCAGTCTTGAATACTTTTTTGTATGTGCGTCTAATTGACTTTTGATGATTATTGTGGTAAGGAAAGTGTTTATTGCCTTTTTCACTTTCATAAAATTATCCAGATTATGCAAAGTATGTATTTCAATGGACAATGCTCAAAAGTAGTTATTGAAATGTATTTTATTTTTAGTGTTTCCTAAATTATATTCAAACATAGGCCATTATTTGTCATTTAAAATTTTTCTTAAAAAATTGTTGATTTGAGAGGTTTTTTTGTGTGTGAAGTACAACATTGTTAACCAATTTTCTGAGTACGTGACCGTTGGTATTTTTATCTATTTTACTACCAAGATATTATTTATTGTTGACTGTCTTATTAGGTGTTATATATTCTTAGGACCTGATTTTTTGAATATTTCATATGGGTGAATTGCTTGAAGGAACTTTAGTGTATTTCCAGCTTTTTTCTCGTTAGCTGTAATAAGCTTAATGTTATAGAATGTAAACTTCAGTAACATTTATTATATTCCCTTTACATGCAGAAAAATTTTAGGTTGATTTTACTCTCTTCACTGATGCTGATGTTAAAGTGTGAGTTTCAATCTAATGAACATTAGCTGTGCCATTTATTTTACCAGAAGTTTTAATCAGATGGAAAATGTTTCAATGCATCACTGTGCTAGTGAAGAGTAGAAATCCATTATAGTTCAGGATAGTCTGAGGATCTTTTGCATCTGATCCTCAAATCTACCTAAAGACTGGGATTAAAGATAAAAATTAAAAAAAAAAAAAAAATCATGTGAACCTATGGAAGGAAATACTTGAAATACCGAAGAGGATTTCTTTTTTTTGGTGGCTGGCTGGTGCAGGGATCTGAGGTGTTATTAACACTGTGCTCTAACCAACTGAGCTAACCGACCAGCCCTCAAGAGGATATATATATATTTTTTTTAATATATAACTTAAACTTAATATACAATATAATATATAAACTTTAATATATAACTTAAACTTATTTTCTTAAAGCAAATATACCAAAAATCTTTCAACAATTTTAATATATGAGGGGTCTTCAAATAAGTTTGTGGGAAGTTTTGTATTATCTTTTAATTTTATTTTTCCACAAACTTTTTGAAGTACCCTCGTATATACCTGTATTTAAAAATACCAATTACTCATATTTTTGTTTTCCAAAGACTTCCCAGAACATACACCTTTCCTAGCTTTTCTTTTATACTTGTGTCAAACATTAGACATATTGTTGAAATATTGGACTAATATTCTTAAAATATACAATCGTGCCTTACTGTATGTACTAAATAATTGTGAGTATTCATTATAGTCCTGTGATGCGGTTACCAAATCTGATTGTTGACACTAAGCCTTTTTAGTCAGTGTTGAGACACTTCTTTCCGTATGGGCAGGCTGAGTATCCTTAATCTGAAATCCTCCAAATCTGATTGTTGACACTAAGCCTTTTTAGTCAGTGTTGAGACACTTCTTTCCGTATGGGCATCTGAATCCTTGATTCGAACCCTTGACCTTGTTATTATAATACCGTGGTCTAATCAGCTGAGCTAACAAGCCAGCCTAATGTTTGGGCACTTCTTATTCTCATGTCTTCTGTGAATAATCGGTGCCTACTTCTCTTTTTTAGTTTGTCTTTATTGCTTTTTGGTTATCCCTGTTAGTATTAGTGATTTTCATGGCTCTTGGTGACTATTCTTGCTTCTTTCTACTTCTGTTGGAAAACTTTCCTGATATTAACATTGATTTACTTATCTTTAATGAGGCCAAAAGCATTGATTGCACTTTTCATATAATTATTTGCCAAACTTTTTATGGTAGGTCTTCAAACTACCCACTTGAAGTTTTGTGCCCAGCATGAAGTTGCATTTAAAAAGTGTGATATATTTAGATACATATGTAAGGAGAGAGGACCTTAGGTTTAGTGACCTTCTAGTTTGGGATATGCTTTCAACAATGGTGCCTTAAAACAATTTTGAAATGTTTATGAATAAGTAAAAATAGTAGTTAGGTTTTCTGCTTTCATCAGCTAACTCAAAGTTTTTTAAGAAAAAAGTTTGCTTTTTCTCCTGTAGGCAGCAATGGATTTTTGCATGAACATGAACACAAAAGCAAATAGGAAAAAGTTGGTACGGGCACTCTTCATAGTTCCAAGACAAAGGTAGGTATTTAAAAAAAAAAAGTAATTTGTTAGTGCTTTTACTCTGTAGTGATGGTTGTAAAGTCAAAGTTCTTATGTAGTTATCTCTTTAAAAATGTCACTTGTCTTTTGATTTTATTCACTCAATAGGTGTTATTATTAGCATATTTTCTAGAACTTATTTCTTGTTAATTTTTGTTCTTTGCTTGTTAGCTCTAATGGAAATATTTTTTCTGATATTTATGTGTTATTTTAAGAGAAAAGTAAGGAATAACTTATTAATAGTAACTTAATAATTGCTAGAAGCAATTGGTTTACATTTTGCCTTTGACGGGAAAAATATAAGTGGTATATAAATTTTTTGGAGTTTTATTATTTTATGTAAAGATACTAATTCATTGTGTCTGAATTTGACAGTTTTGTTTAAATAAAAAATTTCAAGTTATTTGGGTAGCTATGATAGTTTGGAGATGAGCTAGCCTGCTAGAGACTCACTCGATTGAATTGGAAATCACATTAGTGATTGTTCCTTAGTAATTCAAGACATATATTCAGTTTTATAATGCTTTTAGATAATTCTGTTGCTGTATTTCACTAGACTGAATCCCCTTCTCCCCTGAACACTTCAGGACCACTCATAGATTATTGATTGTAGGAACCTGGAGGAAATTAATTTCTGTTTATTCAACAATGAATAATTAAAGAATTTCATTCACTATTAAGATGATTACACACAACATAGCTAAGATAGCTACTTTTTTCAAAAGATAAGGATTCTGAGGGATTTCACTGAAGTTTTCTTCAGGAAAATTTTAATTTGCTCCATTCCTTGGTGGAGGCCCTTAATAATGGTACGATTTCTCAGTGAAACCAGGCACTACTTGTCTTTTTTTCTTTTCTATTGGTTTTTACCTTCTGTCAGCACCATTAATATGAGCATTTAGTTTTTCATATTTGTGAGGCAAGGGAGAGGGAATGTGTTAATACAGTAAATATGTACAACTAAGAAATAAATGTTATCAGTTAATTTTAAGGCTTCGATTGTGAGATACACTCCAGTTTGATGTACTGTATATGAAAATGGGAAAATGTACAACTTGAATTGATGAAAATTTAAATATCTTTTCCCTCAGTATCTTGGGCTTTTTTCAAGTGATTCCTTTACCTTAGGCAATGGAATGTTTGCTTTCATATTTTTCTTTTCATCTGTTTATTTGAATGACAAAACATATAGCAACAATTATCTGGACTTATTTTTATTGCAACCTTAATAACATAGACTAAACCAAAGTTAGCAAAAATAAAGGGGGTAGTTAACAAAAGAAACCATGCAGTGATTTTTAATTAGTTCACTTATAAAAAGAGCATCTTCTCTCTCCATATACCTATTCCTCCTCCATCTCCAAAAAAAGTCCTCAAAAATTGTATACTATTATATTTGGTCTTGTGCCAGACATATCTTTTATAACTGAATTTATCTGCTTAGCTCAGCAGATAGAAAGCTGCAAATTAGTAGTAGTTGGAATTTGCTAGAAACAGACTTGAAAGTAGTAGGAAGTAACAATTTATGATTTAAGAGGAGAGAAAAAATACAAGTACTTAAGATGCATAGAATTCTAGAGCCATGAGGAATAGACCCTACACTATTATGTACCTGAAGTGTATAAATATAATAATTTAAATTTGTTACAATCAGTCTGCTGATCAGGAAAGATTAAACTATGTTGTAGGGGCTGGCCAGTTTGTTAGAGTGCGGTGTTATTAACACCAAGCTCAGAGGTTCAGAGCCTCATACTGGCCGGCTGCCAAAAATGTTTTTTAATTAAAAATAAATAAATAATGTTCTAAAGTTTATTCATTTATTAAATAATTCATTAGGGGTCTGCTGTACACTGTGTTCAGTGGTGGAAATACAATTTAGTGGTGAACAAGATTGACTCTGCTGTTGTATTCATGTAACCTACAATTTAGAGAGGAAGACAGATGAATAATTCTAAGGGCACTTATCAAGAAGAAGTACAGCATGCTTTGAAGCATAGAGCAAGTGGAACTGATTGATTTAGTCTGGGGAATCAGAGAAGGCTGCCTGGAACAAGGGTCATTTAATCTGAGTCCTGAGAAAGGAATTAGCTAGACAAGGGAGGTGAGGAAAGGGAATATAGAGAGAGCATTTCTGATAGAGGAAACAGTATGATCAGAGAGACAGAGACAGGAAGGAAAGGTCATGGCATCAAACTGTTGCAAGAACCTCTTTCTTGGACTCCTCAACCTTGTCCTGTAGGCTAGAGGAAGGAGGCCATGTTTACTTCTTTATTAACACTTAGCCTGACATGTGCTAGGTAACACAATGCCTGACATGTAGAAGGTAAAATTATGTAACATGTTATTTAATGTCCTTTCTTATCTAGCCTGTTTTTAACTTCTTCAGTCTTAATTCTAGCCAAATTCTTCCTCTTGCAAAATCCTTGTCTGTAATTTCTTAATATCTTTTGCTCTCTCCATTCCTATGCCTTTGCCTCTCCTTTTTACTCTATCGGGGGTGTCCTTTATTTTTCTACTGGAAATCTCTGACTCACCCTTTAAGTCTTAGCAGAAGAGCTATCTTTTCTGAGCAACCTTCCTCATTTCCCTTGTGTATATATAAGGTGCTCTTTATAGCACTTTCAACATGTCTTCATATGAGGAATGAGGTGTGTTATATCCCAATTGTTGGCTTGCTCCCTGTATCCTTACCAGACTGAAAACTATCAGCTCTTTGGGAGGGAGGACTAGATCTTTTCATTTTGTATGTCTCCAATACCCAGTGTAGTGTTTGGCACACAGTACGTGCTTAAAAATATTCAATGAATTAATGTTGATCATATGCAATTTAAAAAAATAAATAATACATTCACATGACTCAAAACTCAGAAATACAAAACATTATATGCTGAAAAGTATCCTTCTTATTCTTGTTTCTCTATCTCCCCAATTCCCATTTCTCCCAGCTGGAAACCACTGATTCTTCCCTATCCTCCCAAAGTTCCTTTTGCATATATGAGAAAATATAATTATAGATTCTTATTTCTTGTTTTTTATACAAAAGGCAAGTTATTTTACTATCTTTTCATCTCATTACATAAAGATTTCCTTTGTTCATTCTTTTAAGCTGCTGTGTTTCTTTTTATGAATTGCTATATTTAACCATTTCTTACTTTCCACTCTTTTGCCAGTATAAAGAATGCCATATTTGTACTTCCCCTTTCTTTCTCCTCTTGATTATGTTAGCTGATGGTTTATCTGTTGCAGATTTTTCTTAGCAAAAAACCCAGCTTTTGGATTACTATTTTCTTATTCATTACTTTTGTTTTTTATCTTTATTAATTTCTTCTTTTAGGTTTTGTTCATTTGTTTTGTTCCTTTTCTGGCATTTCATATATTGGTTGTCCTTTGAGCATGGTTTTAGTTGTGTCTCTTAGTTCTGACATGTGGTGATTTCTTACGTCTTCTAGTAATTTTGTAGTTTCAGTTTTATTTCCTTTGTGACCCAAGGAATTATTAGAGTTTTGAAATTTCCAGATAATAGGGCTTTTTAAATTTGTTTTGTGACTTTGTTAATAATTCATATTTTTATTGCATTGTGATTAGAGAATACTGTTTATTTTTACTTTTTAGAATTTTTAAAAGTTTTCTTTGTGTCCTAATATAGTCAATTTTTATGAACAAGCCATGAGCATTTTTAAAAAGGCACATTTTTGTATTTATGGTACAGAGTTAAGTGTTTTGATCAGGTTTATGTTATTATTATTATTAGTGTTGTTATTTTTGGCGCTGGCCAGTACAGGGATCTGAACCCTAGACCTTCACATTATTAAATAACTATTTTATTAAGGTCTTCCATTTTCTTAGCCTCTTTTGTCCACTTACCCAGGGGCCATGGGCTGAGAGAGGCGAATTAAAGACTACTTCTGCTGATATGTTACATTAATTCTAGTAACTATTACGATTTCAGCTTTCTGAATGTTAGTGTTGCGTTATTCAGTGTGTAGATAAAATTATAGTTTTCATTGTGAATTTTATTACCTTTTATTATTATAAAATGTCCTTCTTGGTCTTATTTATTAATGTTTTTTGGCCTGAATTCTACTGTATCTGGTGTTATGATTGCTGTTTTCTTTTTATTTGCATTTTGCCCTTTCTTATATATTTGGTCTTTCAGAATCACTTTATTTTAGTTGGGTCTCTTTTGTGTAATATTAAATTGAATTGAATTTTACTTTGACTGTTTCATTTGTTTATTTATTTATTATTTTGGTGGCTGGCTGGTATAGAGATCTAAACCCTTGACCTTGGTGTTATAACACCACGCTTTGACCAACTGAGCTAACTGGCCAGCCCTGAATTTTACTTTGAGATGCATTCTGAAAATGTTTCTTTTAATAGGTAAGTTAGGCTATTTATGATTGGTCTGAGTTGTTATAATTTGTTTGGGGTTTTTTTTGGTGGCTGGATGGTACGGAAATTCCAACCCTTTGACCTTGGTGTTATAACATCGTGCTCTAACCAACTGAGCCAACCAGCTGGCCTGTTATAGCTTTTAAAAGTCTTTCGTTATGGGCCGGCCCATGGCTCACTCGGTAGAGTGCGGTGCTGATAACACCAAGGCCCCGGGTTCGGATCCCACATAGGGATGGCCGGTTCGCTCACTGGGTGAGCGTGGTGCTGACAACACCAAGTCAAGGGTTAAGATCCCCTTACCGGTCATCTTTTTTAAAAAAAAAAAAAAAAAGTCTTTCGTTATATGGTTTGTTTGTATTATTAAATTTAGTGTGCATGTATGAATGTGTTTTCTGATATCCGGAAAGTTTGTATTTCTTTTTTTTAAAAAAATTTTTATTTATTTATTTTTATTTTTTTAAATTTTATTTTGTCGATATACAATTAGGTTGATTATTGTGGCCCATTACCAAAACCCTCCTCCCTCTCCCCCCTCCCACCCAACAGTGTCCTTTCTGTTTGCTTGTTGTATCAACTTCAAGGAG